TCAAAAATATAACCAAATACATCTTTCTTTCAAATAACCAATGTAACATTTCAACAGTTTCAAATTTTCATATATCTTCATAACCTTGATACTCACACGGCTACAATAGTTCTCAATTTTGTATAAACTCTTATATGTTGTAGTGTTTTTGTGAATTTTTGTGTATATTGATTGTTTGTTTGTCAATAATGGGTACAACGACCTCTGTTCTCGCCAACTTCTAGAAAAAGGAATTAGTAGGTGGTTCTTGGAGATTTCCAACGAACTCATTTTTTATAACAGCTTAATATTCACAAAATAAAAAAATTAATCGCAGAAAATACAGTTTTTATAAGAAATTCAACAATATTTTTTAGGATGAAATCATATACATTAATTTATAAATTTTATATTAATTAGCAACTCATTTCTGAGAGTGCACATTTACGGGAACGACCATTATATCATTAAGAACGACCAGGCATCAACTACCCTAGATATTGGGAACAGCAAAGGATCAATGGAGCCCGACATATATAAGGCAGGAATTGAGACCAAAAAAGTGAATGTGTGTGGAGACAATATATGCTCTTTTGGTAAATGTAGTTAAATGGGATCCACACAATCGAAATTAAACGACTACACGTGTACGTAATATACCAAAAATGTTTAATAGTCCACCATTTTGCATGGGACAATCATCTTTATACCTTCTAATTTTGTAGTTTATAGAGTGGTGATTCATCCCACTAATTGTTTTGGGACCACTAATAGCTCTAATGCAGCTTAAACAATAAAAAAATCACACACAAACAAATCTCCAACACCAAAAACATCACATCACTTGGTGTCGGCCGTGAGCCACATATTTAGTGAATGCTCTAACGAGCTCCCAATTTTAGTGCTCTAAACATTATTCAACATATAATGTTAGGTTTGAAATTTTGAATTTGGAACACGGTCATTTTTAATAATAAAAAAAATGAATAATACTTTGATACTACTAGTACTGCGAAATAATAATTTACTATATTTCCATTTCCACTTATCACTTAAATCTTTTGTCTTTCTCTTTCCCCTTTTTCAAACAAAATCTCTAACCTAAAACATTTAGAGTGTTCAAACTATGCCTTAGTGCTGTCGGCGATACTATCCCTATACATTATTAAGATTTTCTTCACTATCCCTTTTCTAAAAAGGTAAAATAATATATAAGTGTATTTTTTTAGACCTAGATCAAGTTAAATGATATGATTGATATTTCTCAGTAAAGAATTCGAATAAAGTGTGTGTTACCACAAACCTGTAAACTATACTTCCTAATAATGTGTCAATATCAAAGTTTAATAAAGAATTTAGGTCGTCTGAATTTTATTTTTGTAATAACTTGCTATTTTTTTTTATTTTTTTATCATCAAGACAATCTAAATCTATATACATCTTATTATATATGCTTAGGTATTCCATTGCCTGGAGGTCGTTAAGAGTTGGTCTAATCATGACGTTATGTTCTTTTTGTAACCACAATAACTTCTATCCAATAATGACTACACTAAATATTCCGTTTTGGCATAGATTTATTCTAAGTTAAAAGTAAAATAAATTATATAAACTAGAAATAATCCAAAGTCTAATAACACCTTCTAAATATTTTAAAAAAAAATCAAAGATTTCTTTTCTAATCCTACCCTTTTTTGGCCCCATATCTTTTCACAAAAAATCACCCCAAATATATAATTTTTTATTTCATATTTTAAACATAACACATTGAAAAATTACTAAAATATCTTATTCTCATACTGTAGCTCTAAACAACAAGTGGTACTCATTACGACATTTTAATATAGGATTTAACACGGCTAATAAAATTTGCTCTAATCTAGTAGTCCATGAGACCACACGGTCAGCGTATCTGGGGTGCTCGTCTCTTCGTCTTTCAACGGTTATAACAATTAGTCTTGTTGTGTTTCTCTATTTGTAGAAGGAGTCGTCTTGATTTTAATTTTTTTGATAATACTGAAACCCGTTAATATTATAGTTACATCAATTAATTGGATATTGTATAACTTTCATGATTAGGTCTTAATTATTTTTAAAAAATTTATGAAGTTACTTTAAACCATCTAATTTTGTAGAATTAAAATGTGTTTTTATTATAAGGCTGTAAATATCTAATCTAATTTGATTTTTTAATATAGATAATTTACTCAACAGAAATCCTACAATATAAACGATTCGGATTTTCGAAAGAAATTTAGGACGAACGCTCACAAGAGAACACAACAGTCTGTTGTGCTTTGAAGCACGTAAGATTACAAAATGCAATGGAACATGCTTGCAAATATATGGTATAATATTAATATGATATAGAGAGGAAGAGAGAGGAGAGAGACGAGCAAGCCATAGGAAACTCTTTGACGATGAACATGTCCTTGACTTTCAATCAAAAGATACATGCTTAAAAAAAAAAACGAGGGAAATTACATTTCCTAAAATAAACAAATCAATAAAAAATATATAATTTTTAATTATTCAATGTTGATAAAAATCTTCGTATTGATTTTGTAAATTAATTTTGTTAAAAATACACTGTCTGTAATATTCCACTTACAAAAATATAAAACAAAACTATGCTGAACCCAACAAGAAAAGAGAAATGGATGTAGAGAAGGGACTATACGAGAAACAACAATGTAGAGGAAATTATAAGGAACAATTGATGAATAATGGCATGTAACCTTACCTCGCTCCTCCTTTCTACTTACGATTTCTCCTCCTTCTCCCACTTCGTCTCCTCCTGCTTGCTGCCTTTTCTTCCTATTATTTCAATAGGTCATTGCCAAATTTATATAATTTGCCAAAAAAAAAGGTCAATTCACAAATTTGGTTTGCAACAATTTTCATTATTAGAAAGGCTCCAGTGAGCACTAGCGTTAATATTATGCAGCAAAAAAAATCACTGTCTGTTTGGGATTATGGAAAGAGGTTCAATGTCACAATATAATAGTGAGCAAAAGAAAAACCACGAGGCTGACTTAATTTTCCTTATACTTAAGGGTACTTGCTCTCTAAAGTCGTTTAGTTTAAAATTATGATTTTAAAAGTAGAGTTAATGATTTGAGCGTAGATTATGAGTTGAGTTTTTGAAAAGGAAAATTTATTTGTTTATGATTTTAAAAAGAACTATTCTGAAAATAAGCATATTGGGCCTCTAACCGATCGTCCTCTCAGATGTCCGCTGTTGCACCAGGAATAATGATTTTTTTTTTTTTTTTGCAATGTACAACCCTGTTATTTGATATATATATATAATAATATATATATATTTGTTGTTTAGGACTATTTTTAAATATAGAAGAAAAATTTAGATTTTTTTATAAAAATAATTTGATCAATTCATCCACTAACTATTTTTCAAACACTATATCATCAACAGATGTTTTGAATTAAGTTTTGACTGTGTGTTTAGTTCAAAGTTTGAAATTAATTTTTTGAATTGAGTTGAGTTTGTGTATTTAAATTATTAATTATTTGAAAAATTTTGTATAGAATCATGTTCCCAAAGACTACCAAACCCAACGTAAATTTTTAATATTCAATTTTGTTTGCTAAAGGTGTAAAACCTCGCATTTTTTTAAATATTAAGAATTTTTAATAAGTTTGTGATTTATTATAATAATTTAATCGTCGAATTTTTAAATAAAAATCTAAGTTTATTTATTTTTTTTATATTTATTATATATCTCGTTTTAATATCTACCTCCGTTATTTATCTCTTTTCAAAATAAATTTTGGATCCTAATTGGCTCCACGCTTTTTCTATCATTTCAGACATCCACCTTTCGTGATATTGGCAGATAAAAATAAATAAATAAATTAATAAAAATAAAAGTGGGAACACGGATTTTTTTTTTTTAATATTTTAAAAAAATATTTAAAAAGGAAAATCGTGCTTTTTATAGACAAACAGACAAGATAACAATTATGATTTGAGTGTAGAAAATTTGTTTGGTAAAGAGTTTTGAAAATAGTTTTGAAAAGAGTTTTGATTTGAGTAGGGAATTGTTGATGTGACATTTGATATGTGATACAAAAATTTACAACTCATAACTAAACATACAACTCAAAATTATTTTAAAGCACATAAAAAAATAAAAAAAATTCAGAAAATATTTTTTTCGATTATAAAAAAATTAACATATCTAATTGCAAAAAAAAAAAAAAATCATTATTCTGGTCAACTAGCCGGACATCCGAGAGGACGATCGGTAGACCCAATATGTTATTTTCAAAATTCTTTTTAAAATTCATAAACAAATAAATTTTTCCTTTTCAAAACTCAACTCATAATTCTACGCTCAAATCATAACTCTACTTTTAAAATCATAATTTTAAAACTAAACGACTTTTAGAGCAAGTACCCTTAATATAAGAAAATTATAGGTCAGCCTCGTGGTTTCTTCTTTTGCTCTATATATATGTGGACATTGAACTCTTCCATAATTCCCAAACAGAAGTGATTTTTTTTGTGCATAGATTAACGCTAGTGCTCATGGAGTCTTCTAATAATGAAAATTGTGCAACCAAATTTGTGAATGACCTTTTTTTTTGGAATTATAAATTTGTGAATGACCTTGAAATAATAGAAGAAAAGGCAGCAGCAGGAGGAGACGAAGTGGGAGAAGGAGGAGAAATCGAAGTAGAAGGAGGAGGAGGTAAGGTTACATGCCATTATCATCAATTGCCTTATAATTTTCCTCTACATTGTTGTTTCTCGTATAGTCCCTTTCTCAATCTCATTCTCTTTTCTTGTTGGGTTCACATATTTTGTTTTATATTTTTTGTAAGGGATATTACAGATCAGTGTATTTTTACAAAATTAATTACAAATCAATAGAAGATTTTATCAACATTAATAATTAAAATTATATATTTTTTATTGATTTGTATTTATTTTACGGTAAATGTAATTTCCCCTCGTTTTTTTTTTTTTAAATGTATCTTTTGATTTGAAAGTCAAGGACATGTTCATCGTCAAAGAGTTTCTATGGCTTGCTCTCTCTCTCTCTCTCTCTCTCTCTATATATATATATATATACATATATTTGCAAGCATGTTCCATGTGCATTTGGTAATCTTACTGTGCTCAAAGGCACAACAGACTGTTGTGTTCTCTTGTGAGCGTCGTCCTAAATTTCTTTCGAAAATCCGAATCGTTTATATTGTAGGATTTGTTGAGTAAATTATCTATATAAAAAATCAAATTGATTAGATATTTACAGCCTTATAATAAAAACACATTTATTTCTACAAAAATTAATGGTTAAAGTAATTTTCATAAATTTTTAAAAATAATTAAGACCTAATCATGAAGTTATAAATATCCAATTAATTTTCTATAATATTAACGGTTCGTATTATCAAAAATAAAATTCAAGACGACCTTCTACAAAGAAACACAACAGACTATTGTACGTTGAAAGCAGAGCAGCACCCCAGATCCTGATCCATGTGCTCATGGACTACTGTTAGCAAATTTTATCCGTGTAATCTAATAAATGTAAAGCCACTTGTTGTTTAGGCTCGTTTGAGAATAAGGTATTTTAGTAATTTTTTAATTTTTTAGTTAAAATATGAAATAAAAAAATTAATATATTTGGGGTGATTTTTTGTGAAAAGATATGCAAAAAGTAGATAGAAAAGAAAATCTTTGATTTTTTAATATAAGTTATAGACTTTTTGATTTTTTTATTAATTTTTTGACTTTTTAACTAAAATATTAACTTGCCAAACGAGATTTTAGTGTCATTAATTGTAGAAGTTTTGTGTACAAAAAACTAACGTCATTTAACAATCTTACCTCAGCAATGATACCTACATATATATATATATATATATATATTTGTCTTGTGATAAAAAATAAAAAAATAGGTATTACAAAAAAAATTAGACCTAATTTTTAAACTTGATATGACAATTAATTAGAATATTTAAGGTTGTAACACACTTTTTCATATCTTCTCTAAATATCAATCATATCATTTATACATTATTAGGTCTAAAAAATAGACTTATATATTATTTTCCTTAGAAAAGTAGTAAGAAATTTAATAATGTATAGGATTATCCTCCACACTAAGGCTGTGTTTGACACTTAAATTTTGGTAAGAATTTGAAAAGGAAAAGAGAAAGACAAAAGTTAAGTGTAACGTGAATAAAACATAATTATATTTCACGTATATTATACACATATTTTCATTTTTTTATTATTTAAAATCCCTTCCAAATTCATATTTCAAACCTAACATTATATGTTAAACATGCATAAAACTTTTTTATTCAACTACAAATTAACAAAAAGAAAAAAAAGAAAAAGAGAGAGAATAAACTACAAATTGAATGTGATGTGATGTTTTGGTTTGAGTTTGTTTGTTTTTTTTTTTTTTAAGCTCATTAGAGCTATTAGTGGTCCAAAAATTAGTGGGATGAATCACCACTCAAACTACAAATTGAATGTATAAAGATGATTTCCCATGCAAAATGTGGCTTTAACATTTTTTGATATTAGAGTACACGTGTAGTCGTTAATTTCATGTGTGGACTTTACTTTACAAAGAGCATATATGTCTCCACCACACATTCATTTTTTGGTTCAATTCCTGCTATATATGTCGGGTCCATTGTCCTTCTGTTCCAAATTAGGGATAGTTGATTGGCCATGTCGTTCTTAAGATTATCAATGGTGTCCGAAATGCATCTCGAAATGAGTTGTATAATATAAATTTAAAATTAATATGATATGAGTTTCATCTAAAATAATTTTGATTTATAAATGTATTTTTCTGAATATTTTTTTAGATTTGTAATATTAACGTTAATAAAAATGAGTTAGTTGGAACTCCAAGAACACCTACTAATTTTTTTTCTAGAGTTGGAGAACAGAGGTTTACATATTTGACAAACAAAAATGTCATATACAAAATTCACAAAAACACTACAACATATAAGAGTTTATACAATTGAATTGTAGCGTGTGAGATTAAGGTTATGAGATTAATGAAAATTTTGATAACTTATTGAATGTAATTGGTTATTGAAAGAAAGATGTATTTGGTTATATTTTTGAACCATTAATTTTTCATCCTACTTGACTATTGCATGTTGTTCATTGGGATAAGAAAAAGTTTAGAAATACAAAAATCGATTACATAACTAAACATAAACACAAATCTTTAGTATGATTTTGTAAGTCTCAAACATATGTGAAAAAAGATTGTGTCCAAATTTGATAATAGGTTTTCATGTACAACTGGAAGAAGTGTACAGCTCAAGGTGTCCTTACCTTATTCTGGCCCACCAAACAACTTATTGTAGCAGTTCTCTCTCTCTATAAATAGACATGAAAACTCTTCCGTAATCCCCAAAGAGAAGTGAGTAGTTTTGTGAGAGATCAACACCAGCCAACTGACTTTCGAAGAAGTTGTATTTAAATGAAGAGTGACCGAAGATTAAGAACAACTCATACATATTTTTATATTGTTTAATATATAAATAATAAATGTTAAAGGAGTCACTTAACGAGTCGAATTTATGAACCGAACTTTAAGTATATTTTGATTTATTTATTAAAAATTTAACGAAGTTGACCTTGAGTTCAAACACACAAAAAAAAATTAATAAAGTAATTTCAAACGAGCTCGTATCAAATCGAGTTCAAGTCTCACGAACAATTCTATTTATTTCCAGGTGTGGAGAAACAGTATTGGAAGTATGTACCACTATACAAAGCTGCTCTAACAGGAGACTGGAAAAAAGCCAAAAGAATCATTAATGGAGATGGAGATGCACTCACAGCCAAGATCACCCAAGACGGGGAGATTGCACTCCACGTGGCAGTTGCAACAGGTGTCGTAAAATTATATGCAAGATTTATCATAAAAAAATAATTAATAGATGAACCCTGCAATGCAGGGATTAATTTTTTTAAAATATTAATTTTAATTTAAAATATTTATTTTAGAAATTTTAACCCTACCATTATATAAAAGAATTTGCATGCTTAAATATAACAGCTTTTATATTTTGGAATTTGTGTCATTTTGATTCCTAACTTTTTAATTGTGATACATTTGATCTTAAATTTTGAATTTTGTTCTAAATAAGGACAATTGAAGATACCATGAGATTTTTCAAGAGTAAAATCGTCAATTTGATAAAATATAAACTAATTTGACAAAAGTAAATATCAAAAAAATATTTTTGAATTTTTTAAAATTATTTCTACTCACTAAAGATAAAATTATGTAAAACTGATAAATATTTTTATTTATTTATTTTTTTTACCAAATTAATTTTTATTTTGTGTTTGGATGATAATCATGTAATGGGTGGTTATTTTTGTTTTCATTAAATTAGTTTATATTTTTACAAAAGTCAAATATGTTGACAACTTTGATATTATTATTAAACCAATCCATTAAATCAAAAAATTCAAAACTAAAAACATTTCATATATTAAATATGCCGATTACAGATCAAAAGCTTAACAACTACCCATTACATGATTATCATCCAAACATATAATAAAAATCAATTTGGTAAAATAAATAAATAAATAAATGTCTAAAAGACTTATCAATTTTACATAATTTTATCTTTGGTGGATAGAAATAATTTTTAAAAAATTTTTAAAAAAATTTGACATTTATTTTTGTCAAATTAGTTTATATTTTATCAAATTAACAATTTTGCCCTTGAAATTAAGTAGTGGCATCTTCAATTGTCTTTATTTGGAACAAGATTTAAAATTTATGGTCAAATATGTCACAATTGAAAAGTTAGGGACCAAAATGACACGAGTCCCAAACTATAGGGGTTGTTAGTGTAATTCGCCCTATAATTAATGATAAAGCACCAATAAATCTCAAAATGTGATCTTGTGAACTGTTTAGTCATTTCTTTTTTTCTTTTTTCATAAACCCAAAGGTCTCATTAAAATAGAAATTACACAAAAGGGTAATCACCTACATGTTTTGGTTTAATTTTTGAGAGATAAAAGTGAGTTGGTGGTGACTTATGCTAGTTGTTTGTTTCATGACTTGTGCCTTACTGCTATTTGTTTTGTTGTTCTGTCTTTTGTTCTGTTTTTTAGAGTTTGGGTGTTTGATTGGCTTCTCGCCAATCTTGGGTCAAGTGCATGATGCTTAATGCACTTCCCTGATTTGTTGATATATTGTTGATTGTATCTTGCTTTATCATCAATAAATCTTTATTTTGCTGATCAAAAAAAAAAAAAAAAGAGTTTCTCCGAATGTGAAATTACACATTGGGCAATCCGCACTGTAGAGGTTTTAAATTTTCCCTCATTCTTGAACAAATCCCATACTACAAATAAGAACGTAATACTCTAATGTAACACTCCAATAACGTAACACACTAAAAAACTCTTTAGTGTACTTTTTCCAAACGTAACAACGTAACACTCCGAACTTTTCTCAAATATAACATTTCAATATAACACACAAAAAATCTCGATAATGCTTGTCACCCCCAAGCATGGGTGTGCTATCCCACAATTAGTGAAACAACTATATCAAAACGCTGCATATAGTCTAGTTATGTATGATTTGCCACTATGCAAAAAATGGAGAGGGATAATAAAGATGGTTGGAGGCCAGTGGTTCGAAGACATGGAGCAAAAAGAACATGGAGCAAGAAGGATGGGTCAATCATTTATACCATTTTTGTGGATGACATTCCAAATTCGATGGACCCAAGAAGACTGCATGTACTATTTTCCTACTATGGTGTTGTGAGGGATGTTTTTATCCCTTTCAAGAGAAGGAAAACAACACACACTAGATTTGGTTTTGTGCGGTTTGACTGCCTAGTTACAGCAGATATAGCGGTTCAAAAAGCAAATGGCCTATGGTGTGATGATAAAGCTCTAAAGGTTAAAATGGCAGAGTTTGGAAAGGAAGAGGAAATGAAGCAGAGGTCAGTACAACTGAATGCTACTACAGATGTCACAGGAAAGAACAAAGTTGTCTCTGTTATGCAAAGAGGGAGTAAGTCTTATGCTCAGGTAGTTACAGATAGAGGAGCACCATCTACGACAACCATAACTGTTCAAGCATTTGGAAAAGGCAATGGTTGGTTGTATGAGTGTGTGATTGTAAGGCTAAAGTCATCTTGCTTTGTAATTGAGTTCAAGAAAGAGTTGGTGAACAGGAGCTTGGGGGATATCCAATTAAAAGTAAGTGGCGGTAGAGACATTTTACTCTCATTTAATTGTGGAAACGATGAAAGATAAGCTCATTCTAATGGAAAGATGGATTAGGGAGTGGAGTGAGTATGTTAAAGAATGGAAATAGGGTATGGCCATTGACCAAGAAATGCTTGTTTGGCTTACTGGCTATGGGGTACCTCCAAATCTGTGGCGTTACAATACGTTCACTAACATAGGGAGGCTACGAGAAGAGGTTGTTAGTATAGATGATGATACATTGAGGCTCAAAAGTCTTCAATGTGGCAAGGTAATTATAGTTACATCATGTATGAAATCCAATAATTTTACCATTAATCTGGAGTGCAAAGGTATAATCTACCTAGTGAAGATTTGTGAGGAACAGGTTATTATTTCTAAGGTGATAATGACGCAGTGCAATTGCCATTCTCAACATGGGGATGGTGACAACCTGAGTTCAAACAATGAGGCTGATGATATCAATACAGAATTAGGTAGCAAGATGGATGTTGAAGATGATGATGTGGCTGCCTACGTGGAAGAGGCAGAAAGGGAGTCGATACAAAGAGAAAAGAAATGGCGCATGCTCTATCAGATGTCATGGGGAAAGATAATACAGGGTATAGTGTTTCTATGGTGGAAGAAACAAATGTGTCATATATTGGAGGCGCATGTGATGATAGGTGTGCAGACAAAATGGTAGGCTCTATGCGTAGCGTGAGTAGAGGAAGTTGAAGAGTTTATGATGAATTATTCATTCCGAGTTTCATTAGAAGTTTGAGTGGGTCTGAGTGAAATGGGCCTGGTTTAAACTTAGAGGTAGTGCTATGTAAGGCCCAAGGAATGGAGAATAGGGTTGGCTTGGCCCAGGGAGTAAGTGGCTCAAGTGGCCCAGCTAATCCAATTATTAAGGACAACATTCAGTCTGTTAGTGGGGTTATGACCCAAGCCTAAACACATATTGATAAAGGTAGTGGTGTAAATCTAGGCAACCTTGGGGGAAGCTCACGTTCTCTATCTCAGAAGAGGAAAGTAAATAGGAATCAGAAAAGGAAAGGGGTGACAAGGACGATATGGAATAAAGAAGGAGGAATGAATCTTGGTAACAATATAGTTGGATCAACGGTAAACTTGAAGAAAGAAGTAGTTTTTAGATCAGCTGTGGCTGCAATTTCACTCTCAATGGCAAGTGAGTCCAGTCGAGGAAGGTTGTTACTTAATAAGGCAGAAGCTACTCTACAGATTGGGCGAGCTCTTGGGCTAAATTATGATGATAAAGAGGAGGAGGTGGTGAGCAAACTCATGGAATTAGACACTAAGGATAAGGAAATTGTGTAAAAAAAGGGGTTGCGAGTTGCCAGTTAAATGGCTATTTCTAGGAGGCTTAGGAGAAATTTTATTTACAAATGAAGCTCTTGTCATGGAATATATAAGGGGTCTTAGATAGCCAAAACAAATGAAGAAAAATCAAAAAAGTTCTTAAGGAAAGGAAAATTGACATGGTGCTCTTGCAAAAAACTAAGAAAGAGGTAATATGTGTAGAGCTTGTGAATTCTATTGGGGCAGGAGACAAAGTGGAGTTTATGTCAATTGATTTGAAGGGTGCGTCTGTCGGTCTGCTCTATATTTGGAATCCTGAAGTATTTCAACTTAATGATTGTTACTGCAACCGGAATTTTATTCTTCTCTCGGTATGATCTTTTTTAACTTTTGTTGCATAATTGTGAATGTGTATAAGCTGAATGATTCTGTTACAGGAAAAAGGGTATGGGATATTTTAGTAAGGCTCAAAACACAGTTTTTGTTCCCATGGTGTTTAGAGGGTGACTTCAATGAAATTAGATATGCTTTAGAAAGAAAAAGTAGGGATAAGGGGATGAGGGAGTTCAATGAAATGATTGATTAGTTGGAGGTGTCTGATCCAACAATGTGTGGAAGGAAGTTTAAATTTTGTAACTCACAAGAAGGTGAGAGATAGAGCAGGATTGACAGATTTCTATTAAATCCAAAATGGTTGCAGGTAGGGGTGTGCATGGGTCGGTTCAAGTCGGGTTTATCCTCGAACCGGCAGCCGAACCGAATACATCGGGTGAAATGAAAGGTTATCCATTTGTCACGACCCAAACCCGGCCCTATGGGTTTAGCACCGTAACCGGCCAGTAATCCAAGATTACCGAAGGCCTGCAGAACAGTAATACAGTAATACAGAGTACAGGGCCTGGCGGAAGCCAAAACAGTAAATAAACAATGCCCAATAAGCTGTGACAGCCTGTATGCTAAAAGACTTCTCATACATTTATACATAAACAGTACAGAACAGTATACACAATATTTACAATCATTCAGACTAGGGACTCCATCCCTTACATAACAGTACAGTAAACATTCAGTCTATACAATCCACTCGATTATCACAAAACAGTAAGACAGTACAGAAGGGGGGAGTCCTAAAACACCCCTAAGCCTTAGCATGATAGGCTTGGAACCTCGCAGTGAGGCACATAGGCTGGCTTGACAAAACTGGAGTAACCCTGACGCTCCTAGCCGCGGTCTGGTGCCTGGACACTTACATATATATATGAGCAGTGAGCTAAAGCCCAATGAATAACATAATGCGTAAAGAGGTTAAGACTGAATGTCCTTACAGTAATGAAAACAGTTCATTAACTCAGTATTTCAGTCGTTTAGTCAGTACAGTCATATGTGGTACATCCATTAGCATAACAGTACAATAAACAGTAGGTCTTAAAAGACCGAACAGTAATGATGGCCATCAATCAGTAAACAGTAGTGGTTCCACAAGGGAACCGACAGAGATCTCTGTAACAGTAGCAGTAACCGTATACAACAATTGCTAAGGATGCCACAATACATTTCAGAATATAGGACATACATTCAAACAATTAACAATAATTACTTCAGAAAACAGTTTCGTTAAACAGTCAGAAAACATTCTCAGTTGAACATATCTTTACACAATTGTTACTCACAGAGTTTGGGCTACAGTATGCTAGAGCGTGTCTCCCCAGTCGCCTCGGTGTGTTCTACATCTATATCCTCAATAAGATGTCTTAAACTAGGCCTAAGAATGCCTAGGATGAGATGAGGATGCAAAGATGTGATCAGAAAACAGTTTCAGGAGTTTTCAAAAAAACAGAGTCTCGCTCGAGCTTAGGTTTCCCCGCTCGAGCGGTCATGCAACAAAGGTACACGCTCGAGCGTCAAATCTTCCGCTCGAGCGTATTGTAAAAATACTAGATGGGTGAAATCTCTGCTCGACGCCCGCTCGAGCTTGAGACACACGACTCCGCTCGAGCGCCCAATCCTCCGCTCGAACGGACTGTAAAACAGTGCAGAGAAATACTGGATGCTCGGATTCTCCGCTCGAGCGCCCATTTCCCCGCTCGAGCGGGAGTGCAAAATCTGGAAAACCCAGATTGTACCTCCAAGCTCAAACTCAAGTTTAAATGCAACTCAAAACTCGACCTCTTGGGCTGAATTTCCAGAAAACATTTGTAAACACATAGAATAACATGGTTCAAAGCTCAATTTTGAGAAATCAAAGCCCAAGGATGTTTAATTCAAATCCAATTTTAAACCATTTTTCAAGAACAATCCTCAAACATGACATGCATGATCTTTAAATAACTTTCAAGCTTCAAGACATGCTCTAATGAGCCAATTGATTCACAAACAAGATGAAAACATGGCCTACACTCAAAACATGGACATGCATGTGACAATTTGCCATGAACACAACTCAAACATCTACAATACAAACATGTATGCATGGAATGAGCTTCAATTCAACAACAATGAACCAATTCTAGACTTAAATCACTAGAGGCTCAAGAATCTTGCATGAATCACTTAATATTCAAGAACAAAAGAGTAGTTATTCTACCTTAGGTCTTCAATGCAAGACTAGAAGCTCAAAATAGCAATCTATACTTCAATCCCT